GGTGGGGCCGCCCCCCCCTAAAAAGCCACACTGCACCAATGATATGGGGCAGCAGCCGTGTGGGTGCCAGGTGGGGTGCAATCCCTGCTGCACTGTGCTGCATGGGGGGTTCTGCCGTGAGCACCCAGAGGCCCCAATCACCGCTGCTGCAGCCGGTGAGCGCGAAGCTTTAAAGAAAAGAAGAAAAAAAAGCTCTGCACTCACCAGCTGCAGCAGCGGCGATTGGAACCTCTGGGTGCTCATGGCAGAGCCCCCCCTGCTCACTGTAGGGCATTAGGGGGTAGTGGGGATTGCACCTCTACTTGGCATCCACACAGCAGCTGTTGCCTCATGTGGGTTCAGCGCGGCTCGGCAGGGTGCTGCATGCTATCTGGGAGCTGAGGCTTCTGGGTCTGAGCGTTGCCAGGCTCTGGCTGACAGGTGGAGCTGCCCCAGCTCCCAGACAGCATGTGGCACCCTGCCAAGTTGTGCTACACCCACACAATGTGACAGCTGCCGTGTGGGTGCCAAGCAGGGGTGGCAATCCCTGCTGCCCCCCACTGCCCTGCACTGCATGGGAGGGCTCTGCCACGACCCCTCAGAGGCCCCAATTACTGCTGCTGTAGCTAGTGAGTGTGAGGCCTTTTTTTTAAGTGCTGGGAGGCTGGGGCCAGGTGGAGGATGAGGCTGGACAGGGCAGCCAAGATCTTTCCAACTATGATCATGCTTAAGCATCAGAACAGGCTTTCTAGAGAAATAGTGGAATCTCCCTTGCTGGAAATGTTCTGGAGTAAATTAGACACATGACAGAGATGGTTTAGTCAGAGATTATTGTTGAACTGGGGGCTGAACTAGACCTTGTGAGGTTCTTTCCAGCCCTATTTTCCTGTAATAATAATCTAGGCATCTCTATCAAGTTTAAACTCCTCTCCCTTACCTCTGCCTCAGCATGCCAGCCTGACTGGTATCTGATCACAACCTCCGCCCCTCTGCTCAAGTTGGGAGCAGGGCAAAAGCCTGGCAGGGGCTGCTTTGCCCCTGACAGGCAGACATTGGCTAGGGTCCCATGCAGATGGGAGGGGAATTTAAATCTCCCTCCCCCTCCTCTGCCTCAGTCTGAGGGTGTGACTGGTGTCTGGCCATGTCCCCCACCCCTCTGCTCAAGCAGGGAGCAGGGGAAAAGACTGTGAGGGGCTGATCCGCCCCTGCCAGGCAGACTCTGGCTGGGGTTCATAGCCAGGTTTCCCGCCTCCACCTCCTTCTCAGCCACCTAGAGCAGTGATACTGGTCCAGCTAGGGAGAAAAGGGGTGGGCTAACCCTGCTCTGCTGGAGCAGACAGCACAGCCAAGGGCTGCAAATCATCCTGGGATGCTGGGATACTGTGGGTTAACTTGAACTAGAAAGGGATCTGGGATAGAAGTTCCATAAACCAGTTGAAACCAGGTTTATCTTAAACTGATTTTGGCCATTTTTAAAGTGGTTTAAGTGCACTGATCTTCTGTTCTGTTACAGGTTTAAACCAGTTTCTGATCACTTAAATGAGTTTAGGTGTAACTTCTATTCTTAGCTGAGCTTGCTGGACACTTTGTTTCACTGTAACATTTCTTTCAGAATTAATTTTATTTAATTTCATTGGATTTATACACTCTCCTGCCACACAAAAGGCTAAGAGTGGCTTACAACAAAAAACAAGATACATTTATAAAACAGATGGAATAAAATAAAATAGTATATAGTAAAACAAACACCCCAAATGATACCCTCTGCTAAAAGCCTGCCCAAATTAAAAGGTCTTGTATCATTTCCAGAAGCTACCCTGGGGTCAGGCACTGACAGACACCCAGGGAAGAGAGTTACGGAAGAGTTTTAAAGCTGAAGGGTCTCTTGTGTTTTCATTGAACAATTTGGATGCACAGGTGGTGCAGGAGGGCTCTTGGCTGAACTTAGGGATAACGGTATAACATCAGGGAGGGGGTGATACGTTAAATACGTAGGTCCCAGCCCATTTAGGGTTTTATAGGGGAGGTTAAATTCTGTTGTTATTACTATCTCATATTTGTTAGTTATTCTTGTTGCCTGTTTGAGGAATGCCTCATCTACCTCCTCTTCCCTATAACATCACATCTTTATTGTTCTTTCTCCCCTGGATCTTCAGGCACACCTAACAGATCTGCCGCCCTCTCTCTCCTGGGCTGCAGAACAAGTAAATATATTTGTGGCATATAACACGATGCCACCCTCTTTTTCCCCTCATATCTTTCCTTCTGGAACAATACCAATAATGCCAGTTTTATCATAATTTTCTTTACATGCTATGACTTCCATAGTGTTATGCTATGTAGAACATATAGGTTTCACTTGCTTTATGCGAGTTCTGTATGTGCGAATTCACTCTTATGCGATGACCCTTTTTGTACCAAAAATTAATTATGTGCAAGGTAAATTAACTCTTATGCAATTGGTGTCATGGAAGCCCGCAGTGAACTGCTTTGTGTGGTGCACTCATCTTGGCACCTCTGAACATCATTATATTCACCAGATAATACAACTTTGGAATACATAGTAAAATACACATCAGTGGGCACGTCCACATGTGTATCAATGTGCTTTTCCTAATGTACATTAAATTTAGTACCTCCAGTGTGTGGAACTAAATGTTCATTATGCTGACCTAATCTACAGTAGTGCAAGCGCATGCTTTTTAAGTGATGATTAATACACAGTAGCCTATATTATTGTGCATTAGCATAATAGCACTTTTTTTACATACTTTAATGTGCAGTAAAATAGGCTACTGCACATTAAGGTGCACATGTAGACAATGCCCAGTGAGTGGCTGGAAGTGGAAGTGGTTAGATATGTAGAGACTGGAAAAGGAATATAGCAGAAAGTATTCTATGCCTTTTTATGCTCTCCTTGTTGTTACCAACTTGTTCCTCCTTTATCTTATACCGTCTTCTGGCTTCTCAACTTGTAATTTAGGAATATAAACTACAGTTTAAACCTACTGTGGAGCAACAACACCAGCAACAACACACAGCTCTAAACATGAGCTATGAATTTGGTGCAATTTGAAGAACTTTGTGGTACCCTTTGTGGTGCTCAGCTAAGATTTCTGTGGTGCCCTTTATACAAAACAATACCCTGGCTTCTGTTTTACTTGTTTGTATGAAATGTCATCCTTTAGTTCTCTTTTCAGAAATATAAGGACTCTTAACAACTGTGTTACTGTGTAACTTAAAAACACAAGCACTTTTATAAAGATACTAGCCAATTGCCCATCAAGAATTACGGGGAGGGGTGGGAGGGCTGGGATGGAGTGCTGCCACCTAACGCCCCATGCTGCTGCTGTTCTGCCACTTGCAGGGAGCGGGGTGGGGGAGCCGAGGCCAACCTCTGTCCAGTCCTCAGCATGGCTTTGGAATCATGGCGGTGCTCCCCCATGCATGGACCACTCTGATTGGCTGTTTCCATCAGTCAATCAGTGCGCGAATAAAGCATTACAGACAGACAGACTTAAGCTTTTATAACATTAGAATAATTGAACCAAATGAGGTCTGGAAGCTTTATATGTGTACTGTAGTTATAGAAGTATTTCTTACTGTTGCTGATAGGGAATGTGACTTGGATTCCTTTTTTATTAAATTTTTAATAAATCATTGCTGAAAAACAGAATAGAACTAGGGATACTCAAAAATCTTTTCCCCAAATTTTGTTGATTTTTTTTTAAAATTCGATTTTGAATAACAAAAAGATTTCCTAGAGTGTTTTTCCCATTTCCATTTTGCATTTTTCAGAGCAAGTTCTAAACTTCCCGCTGAAGGTTTCAATAAAAAAATCACTTTTTGTTTTGTCAGGTTTAAAGAGGGAGTAGGAGAAGATACATTGTCTAGCCAGCCCTAACTTTTATCCAAATATGTACCACTCATTGCTATGAAACACTTACTTTCAGTAGCATTTGTATCAATTGTATCTTAAAATATTTGTCAGATCCCATTTATACTGGTATCTAATTTACACCTCTCGTTATTGCAGTACTTGACTGTTCCAGGAATGTGAATTACTTTTTTTTTGCTTTATGAAGCATCTATGGGGCAGAGAAGTATTTTTTGTTATAAAGAAGGAACTAAAGCAAAGAGAGAGAGAGAGAGAGAGAAAAGTGCTTCATTCAACATTGCACAGTCTAGCAGAGTCAAGAAATGAACTTTCTGCTAGGTTGGAACAAAGAAGAGCAACTTCAAAACTATTCTTCCCCTCACATAACCAATAAACAGTAGGAAAAGGACAGAAAAATTAGCATTTTAGTTAAAATGAAAAGAAACAGACAGTGGGAGAGAAACTTTCCAGGTGAGGTCTGAAAATCAATGAAGGGCTGGTGAAGTGAACAGACTCAGGAAGACTAGTCCAGACAGCATCAGAAAAAGCTCTTGCATTGCAAGTGGAGGCAATGAAAGAAGGTCTGTGACAGACAATTAGAAGAAAGGGTAGACCCAGTGAGAAAACAGTCTATGTGGTAGGCTAGAGAAAGTGCACGTGGAATTTGTAACTGTGGGTAGGAAAGGTACCTTTGAGGTCGGCTCTAAAATTAAATATATATTTATAACCTAAATGCCTTGTTGTTTTTTTTTGTTTTTGTTTCTTTTTGTTTCTTTTTTTTTACAGATTCCAGAATCTGCTTTGGTCTAGAAAAGCATTTGTGAACAGCGTTAAAGTCTATAATCACAGCTATATCTACATGCCAGCCTTCTCCATGAAAACAGGAACAGAACCATCACTCCGTGTCTACTACACTCTGGAGGACTTTGGTGCCAATCAAACAGTGCTTTTTGCCAATCCCAATTTCTTACGTGACATTGGCAAGTTCTGGAAAAGCAAAGGAATCCATGCTAAGCGGCTCTCCACAGGCCTCTTCCTGGTCAGTGCAGCCCTAGGTCTGTGTGAAGAAGTCACGATTTATGGCTTCTGGCCTTTCTCAGTGGATCTGCATGGGAGGTTTATTAGCCATCATTACTATGACAATGTTTTGCCTGATTCTGGATTCCATGCCATGCCAGAGGAATTTCTACAGCTCTGGTTCCTTCATAAAAGTGGCGTCTTGAGAATGCAGCTAGAACAATGTGAGAAACCTTCACTCCAGTCTGCTGTCTGAGAACTGTAGAGAACAGCTTGAGGATCTTACCTGTTTTACTTTCATGTTCTCCAAAAATAATTTTTTAAAAGGGAAAATACTTATAGATTTGCATGGACTATAAAAATGCTACTGGTTACAGTGATGATGACTTGAAGGCCAAATGAGAGTCAAGTCTTATACATTATGGGTTATGGAAGTGGGAATTCAAAAAGCTCTTCATGGAATCCAGTCAGCAGTATTATCAAAACACTGTTGAAAACAAAACAGCTAAGCTTGCTGGGTCTGCATTTTAAAAGATCAGTGTAAAAGGGGCATTAAGGATTGGAGGGAGGCTACAAAGGGCTTTTGCTGACAGTGCCAAATAAAACTGTCTGTTCCAAATTCCGTTTAATTCCAGTTTGGCACCTATACGATTTTCTCTCTTTTTCTTTTTTTTGTTAAAGCTGCAGCTGCTGAGGTTCACCAGCCCCCAGTGACTTCAAGGAGACCCAAGGGTGCTCAGAATCTGGTAGAATAATACCCAGATTTTGTAATAGAAAAATTTCCTTATCAGGGGGCCAGGAGGAAGTGGGACCTGCCTATTGTATTATTCAGCAGTGCTAGCTCAGATCAGGGCAACATACAGCTGTTTTTAATGTAGCATTAGGGTTTGGGGTTGATTTAAGAATAGTAAAAAAAAACAAATTGAACATTAAATTAAATTTACATCATGAAAAGAATTGAACTACAGACAATTTCATTAGCTTAGTTTTGGCCTGTTGTTATAGAATGCCATAGTAACTTTTGTAATAGGATCTGTCCTTGACCAATTTACTGTACATTCTGTGGGACTAATTCTGTGTTCCTTTGTACTCCAATTGCTCGTTGGCTACAATGGGATTTTGATGTGTACATATGAACGCAGGATCAGGTTGTCCATGTGCTTGTAGCAGAGAAAACAACAGCGAATGTAGGCAACTTTTTAAAATTTATTAAAACAAAAGAAATGATCTCTTTGAAGCTGGTTTTAATTTTGTATAAATAGTTCCTTTGCTGTTGCAATTGCGACATTGGCTTTACAGTATTTTTTCCCACAGTCTGTTTCTGGTCCAAGATACTTTGAAAAATAAAACAGTCCATGGGAACACTCTGTAAAAACTACGTAGTGAGTATAAAGTAAATGAAAATGTTAGGTGCTTATGTAATGCAGTCATTTTCCTTATTATATTAATGAATTATGTAAGTGTGTACATTTCACTCTAGCCCTTGCACTGCCTAAAGGTCTGTTTTATTTTTGGTTCTTACTCAGGCAGTGGATGGTCATAGAACCCATCTGTATTGTGAGTGAATTTTTATTTTTAGGACTCTTAATAAGAAGCAAATATTAAATGTTCATAGCCTGTGTCACAGTATCTGCTGCAAGATGTTATCAACACTAGCCTTTTAATTTCAGACCTGTATCCTCATTCTGTCACTCTATATTCCATCCCCAGTAGCCACAACCTTTAGTTAAACAGTAGAAATAGTACAATTGACATTGGCTTTCTATAAAGATTTTCTGTGCTGTATACATTAGCTCCAAAATAATAGAAGATTTTGCTTTGTTTATTTTGTTTTGTATGACCTGTCATATTGTGTGTGTGTGTGTGTGTGTGTGTGTGCGCGTGCGTGTGTGTGTGTGAGACCTGCACGCAGGATGAAAATATATTTATTTTTAAAAACTAGCTGGCTCTTATACTTCCTGCAAAAATAATTAAGAGTCTGTGTAGGACAACTAGGAAAATATTTGCCTTTTAGTTTTTTTTCAAACTGACATTGCAAAACAAGTGTTTTTTCCTTATAAAAAGTGAACATTTCAAAACATTGCTTAGGTTTGCAATGTAGTTGCTAAAAGAAAGGAAGAAGAGTTGGGCTAAATAGTGCTTTAGAGAGTATTGTGGTCAAACATGATAGGTTTCTATAATTCACTTTCTCTTTGTCCATATTAAAAATGTACAATCAACAAAGCTGATCAAATGCTGCTTAATCTGGCCTTTCTTTCCTCCTGGATCTGTTCATTTTTATTTATATCATGGTTACTCAGTCAGTAAGGTTTCAAAGAAAATAGCCTTCTTTACTGCGCATTGCAGCAAGTTTTATTGTATTGTTTCTTCTTGGACCAGAGAGGATAACTGTGTTTTTATTGTGTGTGTCTGGACTTTGAAGGAAAACATTATTCCTAGAAAATATACTCAGTTTGAAATTCCATTCTCCCATGCTCTGAGGAAATAATTTGATCGGGGACACAAGAGGAAATAAGCATATTCATAGAAAAACTTAGTGCAGTGGATTGTAATGTGTGGCTTGTAGCTCTTCTGTAGTACATTCAGCAGTTGTCTCATTGATGGGGAGGAAGCATTCCACTCCATATCTCTGTTTTACTGAAGCCACAGATATCCTGATGCCAGTGTTTTTTGTGGGTTCTTTCCTGAAACTTGACATCTATCAGGCTGAATCACAAAAGATCTCTCTTGAAATGCTGAGGGAATGAGAGGCCCAAGTTACACAGACAACTCTATAAATAAATAAATAAATAAATGAAAGACCCCCCCCCCTCTAATTCTGGTATTGGAAATATTGCTAGGTCTAGATGGTCCTTGAGATGTCTCCAAAACAGGAAAGTTTTCCCACTGTCCCCAGCAAAGTTACTATGGTGAATAACGAGGGCTGTCTTGAATAAAAATTGTGTAGTGTGAATCCACACAGGATTTCCTTAAATATCTGAGAGAAGTCCAGGTGTGGCTTGTTCGGATTTAAACAGACCTGCAGGGGGATCCATGAATAGTTTTTAGATGCTTTCCAAAGGAGTGTAAGGAATATAATTCAACACAAGAGGGACATTTGCAGTGGGGTTAATGTGGGGTCCTACAAAAGAGGTGGAAACAGCTGCACCAGAAGAAGAAACATTTGTTTTCTTCCTATGACTCTGTTTTCGTTGTCTGTCTCAAGAAGCTGTCACTACCAGCTATTTTTCACTTAAATCTGTCAGTGTCTCATGACACAGTGCAAGAGGTTTACCGTCTGTTTTTAACCAGATGAAGGCAAGCCCTAGATAGGGTGTTGCATCTGCAGAGTCCACATGTTGATTGTCTGCAGCCTGTCTGGGTTTATTTATGGGACAGAAAAGTCACTTGAATTACCATGTTTGTCTTGAAGCAAACTGAAAGCTTAATGCTTTATTTTGTCATTAAAGATCCCTGTTCTGTAGTCCCAACCCAAGGTCCCTGGGTTTCTCTCACACTGTAATTAAAACTGTGCCTATCTTTTATTGCCAGATTGAAAACCATTCCAATTCATCCATGATAAAACCTAGTCCCACCTTGCCAAAAGACTTGTGAAGGTTCACAGACCTTTATTCTGTAGTTAAGATGAAATGGGGCTGAAACATTAGTACTGTGGGTCTGCATGGAAAACACTGCCTGGGAATGCTGGCCTCAACTTTATAATCAGTTGAATTAAAAGCTGTGTCGAACTGCTGTGTATGTTGGGGAAGTTCAGCTCTTGTCTGAGACTCAGATCTAGCCTTTGTAGTAAAAGTGCATCTCTGCTTTGTGGAGAATTGTGAAAAAGTTATGGATTTGTGCTCAAACTACGTGAAACTTTTTTGGGGGGCTTAAGACTAGAGAGTTCCCTCAAATATAGAGACAGGTGAGAGACACCATGCAAACTAAAATCACAAAAAAGTTTTTTGTGTACCTGTGAAAAATAAATAAAAACACTGCTTTTTGTTTGTTTTGTAGTCCTGCCTCTGAGAAATAGACTGTGGCTTAATTTATCCCATGCCACATTGTGTGATTGGACTTGTATTAGAATGAAGATTGTCTAGTTTGGGCAGAATCTAATATGCTACATATGTCTAACATGAGTCTTGAGGGTTGAAGCTTTGTTTCTGTATTTTACAGAGCGCTTAATTGTTCTCTAGATTTTTGAACAGATTTAAAAGCGTTATTAAGAAAATGTTAAAATTAGTATTGTTCTGTGGCTTGGTAAAGTTGGAAGACAATGAAGGGCCCTGCACCTAGTAGCTACATGGGTACATAGTTGTTGTATATTAACACAGTCTAAGACAAGGGTGTCAAACAGGCCGCAGGCTGGATCTGGCCTGTGGACCTGTGTGATCCAACCTGTGGGTCACTGAACCGTCCCCATATGCTGGTCCCTGCACAATGCAGTCTAAGGCAGGTACTGTATGCAGCACCCCATTGGCTCAGCTTTGGGCTGTCACTCCAGGGCTGGTCAATATCAGGCCACACCAGAGCCAGTGTGTGCTGCATACAGAGCATGCCTTGTGCCGGCCCCCTTCACTGTATGCAATGCGTGCATCCACTCCAGTACTGTGCACTGTATGCAACACACACTGGCCCCAGGGCTTGCTGTATACTAGGCATGCATGGCCAGCATTGAATACATGTGGCCCATAGCATGTGGGTTGGACCCAGTGCTGCACATGACATAAGGGACTGGCACAAGGTGCAGGTGGTACATAGAGGGTTGGTCCCAGACCAGACTACCAATCCTCAACTAGCCTGAGGTCCATATAACTTTGACACCCCTGGTCTAAGTCATGCAGTTATCCTTTAGCCTATGTTAATACTGGGTAAAATAATTGGGATTTTTTTACGTGATACTATGATATGAAGAAAGACAGAACCCTTCACATGGTAACTATATCAGTTTGGAACTGCCTCTCTG